GCACCACAGCCTCCCTGGACCCTCCTGATCTGCACGGCTGCCCTGTGGCTTCACCCCTGCTTTGTAGATGGGGAAGCTGAGGCCAAGGGTGGTAGAGTGCTGGGCTGGGTCACACAGGTGAGGCTGGGACCTCAGCCCCTGGGCCTCCTGACCTCAGAGCCCTGCTCTGCCCTGCCAGACCTGGAAGGTCCCTTCTGTCCCCTTCCTTTCACTCCAGGACATGATCCTTGAGGGTGGCAGTCACTCTGGACCTGGACACACAGAGGCCTGTAGGTGGGCAGTGGGGTGGTCGGGAGAGTCACCTGTCTCCTGTGGAGACCAGAAATGCTGGCTTGGCCAGCAAAGGGCACTGGGAGCTTGGGCTGGGATGTCTGGCCTGTGGGGCAGGGACTGCAAGGCTGCGCTGAACTCAGGCTCCTGGGCAAGAGGACCAGTGGGCAGGCTGGGCCCTCTGCGCCTGTGGGGGTCGGGGTGCCAGGTGGCTAGGGAGCTGATGCCTCTGAACCCCCACAGAGCCCCTATTGCTTGCCACGCCTTGGGTGGTATGGATCAAAGCAGTGAGGTCTGGGGAGGGGATGGAAACCAGAGACTCTGGCCAAAGTGAGTGAATGAGCCGCAGCTCTCCCAGCACACAGGCCCCCTGCGGATATGCAGAGGAGGGGAGGACCCTTGGCTGGTGATGCAATGACAGGGTGGGGTGGGCTGGAAGCTGGGACCTTTCCACCCCATGTGGTTCCCTTCATCCTCTCCCTGCTGGTCCTCGGGCAGTACCCTCCAGGTACTTTGTGCCCCCAGAGTCCAGCTCCTTTCCCAGAAGAGGGCAGGTGCTGGGACACAGTCCACCCAGGGCTCACCCTACCCCTCCTCCCTCTGCAGCAGCCCCATCCCTGCAGGTGTGTGAGCACACATGTGCATGCAGCCCCCAGACCTATGGGTGCCCTCCTCTGAGCAGGAATGGGCCACCTGGGATCCTGGCCCAAGAGGGGCCTGACCAGGAAGCGAGCCTGGCTCCCCGCAAAGGCTGGGATGGACACCCCAGTGCACGGCCAGAGCTGCCTGTGCCCCAGGACCCTCTCGGCCCTGACCCAGTGCACAGAGCACCAGAACACGTGTGTGCAGCAAATGCACAGAGTGTGTCTTGGGGAGCCTGTCCAGTGTTGGTGGAAAGAGCTCCCAGGCCACCAGCCACCATCCAGCAAGGCACATGGGGATCTGGGAGGAGAGGCCCTCTCTTGCCCCAGCCCCTCCCCAGAGCCCAGCCCCCCACCCCTCCAGGCAGGGCCTCAGACCCAGAGGGGAGGCCACCCGCTGGCTGCTTCACTCCCGCCCTGCAGCCCTCCTTGGGTCGGGCCCAGGAGCCCTGTGTGCACATGTAGGCACATGTGGGCCGCCTGGGGCTGGGCATGTCCTAATTAGCCCACTCTCTTGGGAGTTCTGATTGAAAGCAAAACAAACCAAAAAAGTCCTGGTTTTGCCCAGGTTCTTCCTGCTGCCAAGTGGGCCTCCCCCAGCTTCCTGAGACCCCCAGGCTTCCGTGTGGCTGTGCTGGGCCGCATCTGGGCAGCAAGGTCGGGCTGGGGGCTCTCAGGCTCCCCACTTGGGAGGAATGCAAAGGGAGGGAAGGAAGGGCCTTTGGGAGCCACCAGAGCACTTCCCGACCAGCGGGTTTCCCTGCCACTCTCGGACACAACCCCTGCTGATTCCTGGGGGTGCAGGCAGAGGTGTGCCCCTGGGGCAGCAGAACCCCGAGAGGGAGCCCCACACGGCCTCCGCACAGTGGCCCAACACATGCTGCACAGTGGCCTCCGCTCCCCTGGGGAGGGGTAACTCTCAGGGCGCCCAGACCACAAAATGCCCGGGGCCAAAGGAGGGCGCCCTGGCTGCCGGAGCAGTGTTTGCACGCAGAGTGCTTCCTCCCTGCACTTCTCAAAGGGCTCTGGGCCTGCCCCTGCCCACTGGAAGCCTCCCGCTCCCTCCTGCTCCCTCCTGCTCGGCTCCTGGGCCCACAGATGCTATCACCTCTGCTCTTTTGGTTCAGTGACTAATTCCCTGGCACCCGCCTCAGATCAGTAAAGAATGTGGACAAGTTAAAATCTGAACAACGCTGTTGTCGTGGGGCTGCCTCTCGTTTCTCCTGAAGAGGGGGGCAGGGGCCCTTTGCCCTGCTGGCCCTGGCTGTGCTGCTGTGGGGTCGGAGTGGGGAGGACAGACCTGAGCTGTCCTGCTGTGGGGACAGAGTAGGGAGGACAGACCTGAGCTGTCCTGCTGTGGGGACAGAGTAGGGAGGACAGACCTGGGCTGTGCTGCTGTGGGGTCGGAGTGGGGAAGACAGACCTGGGCTGTGCTGCTGTGGGGTCGGAGTGGGGAGGACAGACCTGGGCTCTGCTGCTGTGGGGTCGGAGTGGGGAGGACAGACCTGAGCCCCCGTTGGTTGGTCTGCTGTCTTCACTGAGGCCCGGGAGGTGGAAAGGCTCCTGTAGCCCTTGGGGGCCTGGGGAGGGGGCTCTATGATCACAGGGATGATGCTCCATGGGGCCATGGCTTGTCACCTGGAGGAGAGAGGCCATGGGGACTCTGGGCTGGGGGCAGGCTGGGACCCCTGCCCCCTCCAGGACCCATGAGGCTCTCAGCCTGGTTTAGTGGGAAGGCTGGGTTCATGCCCAGTCCATCCAGGTTCCTGGGCATCTGTGTAGGGGAGTCCATCCTGCTGCCTTGCACACCCACCTTCCTCCCTCCCTCCCTTCCTTCCCCTCTTCTTCTCTCCTTCCCTCCTTCCCTCCCTCCCTCCCTTCCTTCCTTCTTTCCTTTTGTCCCCTGGGCCACTCACTCAGCAGCCCCTGGGGAATGTGCCCACAGGGGCAGCTCCATAGCAGAGCTGATGATGGGAGTGGGAGCCGGACACTCGGGTCCAGCACCATCCAGTAGAAATGCCATATGGGCCACACATATGATTTTGCATTTTCCAGGAGCCACACAGAAGAAATGTAAAAAGAAACCCATGGAAGTAATTTAATAATTAATTCACTAGAAATGATGCACCGTGTGTCACACGCTCAGCATGAACCTGAGAGTGAGATCCTTCATTTCTGTATTTTTCTCGTGGCACCATGTATGGAGTCGGGGTGCTGGGCACCCCCAGCACTGCTTAGCTTGCTGTGGCCAACGGTTCCAATACATGTTAGCCCTCTTGTGGGGCCCCCTCGCAGTCAGGATGGGGAGACAGAGGCCAGAGGCAGGAGGGATGCAGGAGTGATGCCCCTTGGGATGAGAATGGGGGGTTCCCCAGCCTGGCCCTCAAACTCCTGGCAGGAGGCTTCTTCCTCCTTCCTCTCTGTCGTTTTGTTCTGAAGAACTTTATGGAGCCACGATGTCTGTGATGTGCAGCTCACCACTGCTGTGCACCGTGAATTCTAGGGCACCCGCATCACGTCCAGAGGAAAACAGCACCCCCCAAGCGGTGGCCCCCAGCCCCACCCAGCCCCTGGGCCACGGCTCTGCCCTGCCCGTGTGGCTGCAGTCTACAACAGCACAGTTTGTTTATCCGCTTACCCCTCATGATGGTGGGTGCTGGTGCCCCCCCCCCCCGCCACGCCCCCCACCGTGCACAATTGATGGCAGGGCTAGTCTGGAGGCAGTGGGAGCTGGATGGGGAAGGAGGCTGCAGCCGGGGCCTGCAGGGGGCTCCTGTCTTGTGGCTGGTGGACGTGGGACCCCAGCTCTGGAGGTCCGATGGCAGCTGCAGCCGGAGCTCCAGAAGGCATGGAGCCACAGCTTTAGTGACAATCTGTCACCTGTCACCTCACTCCTCCTGGGTCATCACTTGTGCTAAGCTTCCTTCAGGCTGGGCAGCCTCCAGTGGGGACTCCAGGACCCTTTTTACCAGCAGAGTGGAAGGGAAAAAACATGTGCCTTCCAAGGGAATGCTAAGCTGGAGGGGCCTCTGGGTAATGAGCACCACCCTCCTGATGGAGAAAAACACCCAGGGCAGAAAGGGGCCCAGCAGCTGGTCCCCGCCCCCTGCGCCCCCCGGGGATACACTCCTGTGCTTTGGGATCTAAAGGAGGCAGACTGGTGAAGGGAGGTTGCAGGGTAAGCCCCCGTCGCTCTTGGTACCCATCAGCCCCTGCCCCCCATGGGCACCCCGGGCCCCAGGGCTCTCAGGGTAACTGCCTTGAGGGTGGCTGGTGCCTCACCCCAGGCAATCACCCCCATGTGTGCCTCAGTGTCCTCATCTGTAAAATGGGATAATAGCCACATCCACCTGAGGCCCACATGAGGATTAAAGCAAACCTCATCACCCTCTGGCCACAAAGCAAGAGATGCTTCCGTGTTTGGAGATCAGCTGCTCTTTACCCATCCAGCCCACCCCCCTGCTTGAAGCCTCCAGGCAGGGAAAGGGGTCTTCTTCCCTGCCTGCCCTCCAGAGGGGACCTGATCTGTGGTGGATTGGGCTGTCCCCTCCCTCCTATGCTCAGGCCTCCTGAAGCTCTAGGGAGGGGCTGACCCATCACAAGGTCCCAGGACCCCAGGAGGTTGATGGGACATGGGCCCCTGGGGGGGAAGGAGGGGACTGTGGGACCCACCCCCTGCCCTGGCCCATCCCTCCCTCTGTCTGGTTCCCTGGGCCTGGGGTCTCCCTCCTTGGGGCTGTCTTAGGGGGATGGGGACGCTGCCCCTGGAGAGTGCCTCCCCCCAGCCTGCCAGGAGGTCCACGGGCAGGAGCCTCCCCTGCCAGCAGCTCCCCTCCAGGTGTGCTCCACGGAAACCCTGGCACAGAAGGAGGCTGATGGAGAGGGGAGGGCGAGGTGAATATGTCAGTTTATCCCAACACAAGCAGTGACCTGTCGGGAGTTGGGGGGGTGGGACGGGAAATATTTGGGATGACTGAGCTGCTGGCCCTTTAAGGCTCTTGTAACAGGACACCTCTGGCCGGCGCGCGCTTCCACGCTCCACGCTCCAGCCTGACTGTGTGTCCCCCTCCCTCCCCCTTCCCACGTTAGCCCCAGTTCAATCTGCTGAGCAGCACCATGGACCAGATGAGCAGCCGCGCGGCCTCAGCCAGCCCCTACACCCCGGAGCACGCCGCCAGCGTGCCCACCCACTCACCCTACGCGCAGCCCAGCTCCACCTTCGACACCATGTCGCCTGCGCCGGCCATCCCCTCCAACACCGACTACCCTGGTCCCCACCACTTCGACGTCACCTTCCAGCAGTCCAGCACGGCCAAGTCAGCCACCTGGACGGTGAGTCGCACCCCTGCTCCCGAGGGGCATCTGTGGGCTGTGAGGGTGGGAGGGGTGATCGCCCCCCTCCAGGCAGCGAGGGAGGGCCGGCCAGGTGCCCACACAGATTCCTGCCTGGCCCCCCGCAGTAAGCAGTGAGCCGGGAGGAGCATAGGGCAGGAGGCGGGTCTGGGGCCGGGCAGTCTGGGCGTGCCCACCCCTCGGACCGACGTGTGGCCCCAGCGGCCAGCCTCCGCAGAGCCCCAGAGGGGCAGACGTGGCTCCTGGGTGAGGTCCATGGGGCAGAGTCCGACCATCATCACCAAGACACTCGGGTGTCGAGGTGGGGCTTGAATCCCGTCCTGGGTGAGCATGAGGTCCACAGAAGCTGCCTCCTCCAGGTAGAGTGCATGGGCAGGGAGGTCTGATGTCTGCTGGTTGGCAGCCTCTGAGTTGTCACCTCCGAGCAGGGGATGAGACTGGGAGTTGGGGGTGGATCCGCGGTGCCTTGGACTCAGGTCTTCAGGTCTTGCCGCCTGCGCTCTGGAGGATTCTGGCCCCTGGTGGGGATTTTCCCAGCTTGGATGGTGGCCCGCACCCCTGTGGCCTCTCTTGGGGTGCTCTGAGTTTACGTTGACTCTTGAAACCGCCCAGCAACCCACCAGGTGGAACCTGTTATTGTCCCATTTTACAGCTGTGGAAACAGGCACGGGGGCGGGGGGAGTCACTGGCTTGGAGAGAAGCAGGCGGTTAGTGCCCCCCTCCGCCAGGACCCGGTGGCTAAGCTTCCTGTTCTGGGGACTTGAGGTTCCTTTTTTTTTTTTTTTTTTTTTTTTAAGATTTTATTTATTTACTCATGAGAGACGCAGAGAGAGAGGCAGAAACACAGGCAGAGGGAGAAGCAGGCTCCATGCAGGGAGCCTGATGTGGGACTTGATCCTGGAGTCCTGGGATCACGCCCTGAGCCAAAGGCAGCGCTCAACCACTGAGCCACCCAGGTGTCCCAAGGGGCTCCAGGTTCCTAACCGCTTCCCCCCACTGTCCCGACTACAGCTGGGAGAGGAAGAGGCTGCCAGAGTGCCCAAGGCGGCCCGGGCGCTGCAGGGATGCTGAGACCCCCCAGGACAGACCACAGGCTCCTCTGAGGGTGGGGCTCACAGGGCACTGGCAGGAAAGGCAGCCCCAAGGACGGTCCCGGTGTCCTGCCCCCACACCTGAAGAGGACAGAGTCTTGCCTGGCACCTGCCCTAGCAGGCCCTGGCTGTGGGGAGCGTCACCTCCAAGGACCAACAGCTCCATAGTCTCCCCCAGCCCCTGGAAATGGGACCCTGGAATAGACAGATATGTCCATGCAGGGGGCCGAGCACCAGCTCTCCTGCTTTAAGAACTGGGTCTCCTGATCCCCATCCCCTCCCGGATCCTGCTGCCCCGCTGGCCAGGTTGTGGTTTTCCCACGCTCCTGAGAGGCTGGAGAGGGGGTGGAACCAGCAGGAGACCCAGTGAGGCTCCACAGGGGCCAGTCTGGGTCTGGGATCCAAGCCCTCCCCCGACGTCGCCCCCCCGGCCGCTGTCTCTGGTTCTGGCTGTGGCCATGGGCCCCCAGCCCCTGACCCATTGCTGAGGTGAGGCTTGGCTCCACCGCAGGGCTTCCAGTGGTGGAGTCGGCACCTGGTCCAGGGGCCCCACCCTGTCATTCTCATTTGTGAATTTTTCCAGTAATGCCCCTTGTTGCTCCTTAGAGGGGATGCTGTCCGTACAGCACAGGTGAGCACAGTAGGAGCTGTGTGTCATGTTATTATTTCCTTAGCAGCAGGGCTGGGAGTGGGGTGCCACAGAGCTGGTCCTCCTGGGTATGGTTGTTCGGCTGCAGGTGCACTTGCTGGAGGCTTCTCTTACTGCTGTAGGGTCCTGGTCCCCGGTCCCCAGATTGGAAGTTTGGCTGTGTGGCTGTAAGCCAGGTCAGGAGGCACCCAAGTCATCCCCACATTACACACCTCTGGTGACAGGAGGCTCACTCCCTCTCCTCTTTGATGTTCATACTGTTCCCTAAGCCCTTTCTCTCACCTCTCAGGGAAGGGTCCCAGCACCTCCTGCATCAGTACTGTCACCAAGGCGTGAGCTGCTGGACCCCTGGGAATCTAGGCAAGCCCTGGAGGGGGTTCCTGGCTCGCTCTTGCGCTCTTTCTCTCCATCTCTGCTATTTAGGAATGCTGGTGGGGTCTTTGCAGCATCTCGGGGACTTGGAATGCCTTGGATGGTCTGAGCTGGTCCTCAGGGTGGGATAGAAGCTGCCCCTCTGCTGGCTATCCCCCCGCCCCCACCTGGGGCCTCTGTCAGGCCCCCTTAGTTGCTTCCACCTCCCCTGCCAGAGATGTGGCATCAGGTCTGAAGGGCCCCTGGCGTGGTCACGGTTTCTAGAGTGGTCTGCCCCGGCCAGCCATACTGGGGGCAGAGGTGGCTTACCTGTGCCCAAGTTCTAACCACCCCTCGCCCTGATACCCGCCCCCCTGCCCGGGCCCGTGGCTGGCACACAGAGCTCTCCCTCCCCAGCCCCCATCAGTGCAGGGGTGGAGGTGGGACACACATTGATAATGAGATTTTTGGCACCTTGGGTCTCTGGGAGAGACCGCCCGCGAGCTCCTTTCCCTGCCCGGGGAGGGGGCGGGCAGGCTCACCATGCAGGATGGGGACTGCCGGGCAGCCCGCCTGCTCACAGCTCTGGGGGTCTGGCTGCGCGGCCGCTGCCCAGACTTGCTTCCCGGGCGTGCTGTCTGGGCCTCCACAAGGCGCCATGCGTGGCCCCCGCCATGCCAGCCGGCTGGTAACTGATAGATAATTCATATTTTTCTCGAGTATGATTCCAAATTGACTGTTGCCTTCGGTCCTGCCCTTGCTTGGGAAAAACACCCTCGACAGGCCCCAAGGGATCACAGCTGTTAATAGGGTCTTTGGCCTCTGCCTGGCTGAGGCCCCTGGCAAGTGTCCCAAGGTCTCACCTCCGTGCCCCTAGGGTGCCGACAGAGGGAAGGTGTGTGTGCAAATGCACATGCACGAAACACCTCACACACATGCAAAGTCGTGCACATGCTACATACATACACACGACTCCACACATGCACACGTGCACACAAACATGCGTGCTTACCTCTTCTGGCCACTACACAGGGCTGGAAAACTCCTTCCCGTGGAATCCAGGAGGGATACATTGTGTGTAACTGAGCAGCTGGCAGAGGAATGTGTGTTCAGCCTCCAAGATCATAATCCGGGGACCAGGGGCAGGATGCAGTGGCAGTTTGACTGGCAGCGCCCAGGTCCCAGACCTGCTGCGGAGCCATGGGCCTGGGTCCAAAAGTGGGAGGTAGCCTGATGGGTCACTGTGGGACAAACGAGCTGGCTCCTGGGACCACTTAGAACAGAACCTGGAGCCTGGGGCACACCCCCCCCGCCCCCACAAATTGCTGCTCTTGAGCCATCCTAGCCAGGGCATGTCCTGTGTCGGGCTTTTCCTATGTCGGGCTCTCCAGGGCTCTGGGGGCTTCGGGGAGGGACAGACACCGAGTGGTCAGGGCTGTGCGTGGGGGCTGGCATCCATGGGCACTGATGCTCTTTGGACTGGTAGGTGGTGGAGCCCGGCCAGGGATTGGTGTTTGCACCCTTATCCCAGTGCCAAGCCCTCCCTGGCACACTGGAGCCTGGCTTCTGGGCCCTGATGGCCACTCCCTTCCTGGGCCCCCCAGGGATTGGCAATGACACGGACAGCTGGTCCCAGGAGTCCAAAAAGCTGCCCATGAGAAGGGCATCTGGATGCTATCCAGCCCTGCTCCATCCCCTGCTCCTAGGCTGAGCCTTGCCAGGGAAGGGGACTATCCTTGGGGATTGGTAGGTTTGGGAGGGGGCTCCGAGGTCAGCTGGCCATGGCTGGAGACCTGGCCCAGCCGGGCAGTGTGAGGCATGCGGGTGGGGTGCACACAGGCATGATGGCTCAGCGAGTCCCTGGGCGGCCTCCATGCAGCCTGCCAGCCTGGACACAGCTCCGTGAATGTACGAGTGCCAGTCTGTCCGTCCTGGGGCTGAGCCAGGCACACAGGGCGAGCGCAACCCTCCTGGCTGGGGAGGGTCCTGTGGGAGGCAGGTGGGGACGCACAGAGGCTCTGCACAGAGTTCCTGGTAGAATGTGGTTGAGTCAACACTAATGGATTTGGGAGAAAACTTTCCAGCGCCTTGGAGGTTTGCAAGCAGGAAAATAATAGTGGAGGTGTCCCAACATGATCATGGTATCAATTGCGTTATCCTAAAAGTTTATGGAATGCATAAGTGGAATTAATACCTTTTACTGGCACCAGAAGCAATTACGTGTATTTAAGGGCCAGGGAAGAGCTCTCACAGTGTCTGCTGTGGAGACAGGATGAGGAGCAAGCAGGGGAGATTGCAGGGATTGCTTGCGTGATGGGGAGCTCCAGGGGCAGACTCGCTCCTGCAGGCTGGCCCTGCTCTTAGCCTGCGCCATGCATGGCCTCGTCTCTCTCCGTCCTCTGCAGGTGGAGCCCCTGGGCCTTCTGGTCATGGAACTTGGCCTTGGAAACCCCAGTGGGGCTGGGAAGGGCGCCAGCCCTGAGTCCTGGGGCTGAGGGGTGCGCCAGGGGCGGCCTCCACCTCACCCCACCTGGGCTCTTATAGGGGATGCAAGGGAGAACCCCTGGGGGGTATGAGACCCGTCCACAGGCTTGGAGCTATGGGTCGGGCACGATGTAATCACTGCTTTATGAAGAATCATTTATTTTCTGAGACATCCCGAAAATGGGTATAGCTCCATAGATTCTAGATTGTCTTCCTAGCGGTCCTGACTGTAGCCAGTACCCTCCCCACACCTCCCAGAAGCCACGCAACAGCCCTGGTGAGGACCCCAGGGCTCAGGAAAGGCAGGAGCAGTGGGGATCAGGGGCCTGACCCCAGGCTTTTGTCAGGCAGCTAGTGGGGCAAGGCCATCTGTGCACCCCGGGAGAGTAGACAGCCTTCTCCCA